ATGGTGTATAAGGGAATCTTCAAAGATTTATGAATTTATCATCATTTGGTCTTTGTGTTTATTGTTGCTAGATTAATATTTTGCTAACTTTATCGTTCAGGTATTTGCTATTATTGATACTAATGATGCTCCAGAATTCAGTATGTCATAGAACTTGTGTTTATTAATATTTGAATAATGGATGATCACACATTTATATTAATCTTTTTTTTCTCCATAACTAAAGTTGTGGTGGGTTAATGGAAAAAGGTTTGAATTCCTGCAAAACTATTTATTTTTTTGTAGTATTGAGGAATCCTTTAATAATTAAATTGGTGACTTGTTAATGAAGAGTTGTAGTAAATGAGAATTAAATTCAAAAAATAAGAATGTTTATTCTTAGTTCATGTATGATAAATGTTGAAAATATGTTCTAAGAGAGTGAAAATTATAAACCTTTTACCTAGGTTATTTAGAGAGTATTTATAATCTTTGTACCTTGAACTTTCTTCCTCTTATTTGAGGGGTCATGACTCTTTTTCTTCTTTACATCCAAGTAGGGAGGGAGACCCTTACATCAACATTAATGTTGATGTAAGTGTCTCCTTATACAATATTAATGTTAATGGGAATACTATGTGCCTATAGAAAGCGACCCTATATCATTTTGCACATAATATAAATATTGATGAGATTAATTTTTGTAAATAATATAATATTGATTGATATATGGATGACTCTTAGGGGAATGTTTTGCATGACTAAAGTGTAGGGAGATGATGATCCTAGATTCTTATATTGAGTACTTGGATCCGAAGCAATCCTAGGCCGAAGGACATTGGGTCTCACATCTTGTTAGACCTGTTGGTACTCAATTTTGGACCCCACATACTAGAGATGGTGTATACCCATTTTAGCTGAACCTAAAGGATTTGGGCCAGACATTTTGCCTAGATTCACAGGCATTTGGACCTGGCAAGTAGCCAAACCCAAGAAAGATGGGTCTGATATGCTGTGAACCCAAGTTTTGACTTCTTGTCTGGACTTTATGTTGAGCCTTATTTCTTTTAGTCCTTTTAGCCTTGGACCTTAAAAGAAAAGGAATTTTAATACGGAAAGCACTAATCCATCATAAACTATACAATCAATTTAACTTTCTTCTCTAATGTCAAAGATCAATTTATACGTGGTCCATCATATACAAAGGATATTCAAAATCTTTCCAATCTAAAAGTGTTTAGAGTCATCATCCTTTGCATAATTTCTTGCTTTCTTAACAATGAAATCAATAAAATGTTTCAATAAAATAATGGTAAAGAACCTATATTAATAAAGATTTTTATGTTCATTAGATCACAAACATGAGAATCATAAAGAGTTATAATTTCTTCTAAAATAATGATGTCTAAAGGGTTAACCTATGATTAACCAAAACAAATAGGTATGAGCCCATAAGATAAATCACACTCATCAATGTCATGAATCTAGGCACACAACAAAAAGCAATGTTCTGTATAATCATTTTAAAGATCAAGAGACAAAATCATTTACTTGTGAGATATAATTATGGGGTTAAGAATTTTCTTTATGTTATTTTTGAAGCACTCACACTAAAATTCCAAAAACCGTACTTCTTAATTCAATTATTTTACGGGTCTTAAAATCACAATTTGGTATGTTGATTGCCTAAACATTTTTTATTCTCTTCATATATGGAAGGAAAAGTTTGGATAAAAGGCATCTAGGAAGCAAACACAATGTAAAACCTTAAAATTCTACAAGCATTAACAAATTTCAATGAACCTTAAAATTTCACCACAAAGAAGTTCCAACGTCAAATAAACAAGAATACTTGCCAGGATGATCAAAGTGATCATCATGAACTTTTAACAATGTATCATCACTTAAGGAGTGATGAAATGAATCCTATAAATAAAAACAAATAAATTACTCCTTTCATTTGATCTCGAATATCATTTAAATAATTGACCTAGTTAAAATTAAACACAAATTTTAATTGATTGACAAGAACAATGCGTTAATCATGGAGCTAAGAAATGATCATATTACTCATAGTTGTTTTTCTAGATGCAATCACTCCAACAACACCTGAACAAATATACTTTCAACATCAACAAATTAAAATATACAAGTAAATATAACATAATTGAAGTAAGAATTAGAATAATATATTAGAAAGAAACATTAACATTAAAATTATTTAACATTATTATTAACAAGCAAACTAATTTAGGCTAGTGTTTTACTGTTATCCATGTTCATCCTCTCATATTTTTTTATTTATGAGAGCAATGCAATGCTTGACTTCCTTCTTGGTGCCTAGATTTTATATATATATATATATTCCAAATAAAGATTCTTTCAATTTGGTCTTTTAAAATTACTTTGATTTTATCGTAGGTTTTTTATTCTCTTTTATTTTTTGAGTTTATACCTACAATAGATATCAATGATTGTTTTGAAATTTAATAGCACTGCAATTTTGCATTAGTAAGTTTAGAATTGTTAAAGTTTACCTACCATGTTGGATTAAAAGAACATGGATCAAATTAGACTTTAAAAATGATTAGCAACATTGTTTTTTATTTTTTTGGTCAAAAGAAGTGTAAATCTACACTTTGGTCCATCAACTTAATTTCCCCCCCTTATTTAGTGCCTTCTGATTTTGAATTTGTTTTATCCCAAACTCATTTTTTCTTGCATTTCAATCCCTAGGTCTTGAAAAAGTTAGTAAAAAGTTTTGAGAGAGAAAGTTTTGAAGTAACCAAATTCTAACTATCAATAAGTGTGATTTTGATATCTTTGGATTTCTCTTTAAGATGAGAACTTAATGGAGGTAGTTTTTACCTTTAATGATGCCAAAGAAAGCATATCGAAGCTTATAAAGTTTTCTTCTAATTTGATTTTAAATTTTTAGACTGAATAAAATGTGTTTTATTGCTAAAAACAAGATTGTTGAGGGTTGTAGGATTTGTTTTCATGTTTTTAAGTAAAACGAGTGGTTGAAACATGGGTTTTTAAAGGCCCTGAAACTTCGAACCAAATTTTTTAGTGACCATAAAAGATGACACATCGTCTGTCCAAGCAAACGACGTGTCATCCTTCAATTTAAAAAAAAAATGGAATAGATGATAATTGTGTCATCTACCCTATTAAAAAATTCAAAAAAAGGAACCAAATGTGTGGGCTTATGTTTCGAGACGTAGACACATATGGGTTTCACATGGGTAAATTATCCTTTCACAATAATTAAAAAAACATTAAAAAAAATGTCAGGGACGTGAGAAAAGTTGCGTCGCTTCAGCGATGTGTTTGCCGTCATATAGGGGTTAAAAACTTTCTTCCGTCATATCATTCGATTCCATATGATATCTTTTTTTCTCAATAGGCAACATGTGTTTGGTTTTGATAGACATATTATCTCTAGTGTTTTTTTCTCTCTCCTCCCTCGAGATTCACACCTTGCATTTTAAATTTTACAACAGTCCCGTTGGTTAGTTATATTTGAGTATCAGTCCTTAATCTTTTAATTATTTGATTTTTATCTTTGGCTCCTTTGTAAGTTTTTTATTTTATTTTTAATTTTATTCTTCAATCTAGACTTTTTGTTTTTTTTTTCTATTTTTCAAATTTAATTTTTTTTTTAATTTCAAAGCATTTCTCTTGGTCGGGTTTATTTGAGTATCAATCCTCATTCTTTTACTTGTTTCATTTTTGTCCTTGAGTCTTTTGTATTTATTTTTTTTTATTTCTTTTCAATTCCATCCTTGAATCTAGGCTTTTCATTTTAGAATTTTTTAAATTTAGTCTTGATTCTTTCTTCTTTTTTTTCCATTTGTTTCTTACCTCTTTTGTAAACTTTCAAGTGTTTTCAATTTCATCCTTTATTAAAAAAAAATATTTTTTTAGATTTTACCCTCATTCTCTTTAATGGTTTTTTCTTTAATTCTTTCATGAAATTAATTTTTCTTTTTAATTTAACCCTTCAATCCAAAATTATTCATCCTCCATTAAATTTGATTCTCATTAGTTTTATTATTAACTTTTCTTTTGAATCTTTTTTTTATTGATTTTATTTTTTTAATTTCATCCTATTACTTTTAATTTATTGAAATTTGATTTTCATGGTTTTTTCAGGTTTGGTGTTTCTATTCAAAAAGCCCAAATCATGAGTTTACATTTCTTTTTACTTATTTTTTTATCTCATCACATGACGTTGATTTATTATTATTATTATTATTTATAAAATAGGCTTCATAATTTTATATTTTTTTTATATGGTTATCCTAATCTTATTAAATAACATGTAATTTTAAATTTGACAAGTTAATTCAAATAAACTCAAATTAATTTTTTTAACTTTTAATTATTGTTTTTTCTTTCAAATCCTTTTGTATGGTTTTTTTTTTCACCATTTAATATTTTGTGTTTATGATAGAAATTGATCTTCATGGGTTTTTTATATTTAATATTTTTTATCAAATGGTCTGCAATACAAGTTTTATAGGTGGACACAAGATTGCATCCCTTTTTTTTTTTCCTTTTTTTTTCCTCAGATTTTTCTTTTATTTCGCAGGTCATCTAGCAAGTAAAAGAAAATTGGGTTTGCCTGCTCCACAATGCCTCAAATCAAGGCAACGATCATGTAATTTGTGGGCTACTATTTTTCTATGCATAAATACTGAAAGAAAAATCATTAAGCAATGAAGGTTTAAAGAAAAGGAATCAAAGGGTAAAGAGTTGGTGCAAAATATTGAGGGATAAAAGTTTCGAAGGTTAGCTGTGATATTCAGTAGTGACATTTGAATAAATACAAAACATCATCCCCTAGTTTTAATAGTTCATGAAAGTTCAGTAGTGACATTTGAATAAATACAAATCATCCCCTAGTTTTAATAGTTCATGAAAGATTGCGGTTTCTCCTTTTTCTCCCATGGGGGTTTGGAACTACTCCAAAGCTGTGTGGTCTCCTGTGTGCTGGGATATTCTACCAATATATCATCTGTCTCGTGGTTTCGTCTCCTTTGCAGCCGATAGAGAATCTTACTCTAAAAATGATGACAGAAGACAGGGCCTGGCTTCCCATACGTTCTTGGTTGGTTAAAAACTTCCAAACATGCAGCTGAACACCTTCAAAGGAACACAAATACATCAAACATTGTATTGATCAATTGGATAAGAAAACCAAATTTGCAGAGAGAAGATTCCCTGTTATCTTTTGCAAAACTACTCAACGCAATTCAAAAACAATTTGTTAGTCTTGAGTATGCTACTCTACACACAATATTTTAGCTAACTGAATTAACATTGAGATTCAAGTTTCACAAGGAATACAAAATGAACACAACCTAACTGACTGGCATGTCCTTCAAGAAAAAGAATTGATAAAGAGTATCACCTTGTCATCATGTTCACATTGCTGAAACGCCTTCACTCCATAACTTTTTTCTTGCAATCAAAACTCGTTCTTCACTCAAGGAGAGAGCATCACTCCTTGGTTCAACCTCTGATAACCAACGATCCCACCTTAAGGCAATCACAAATTTTCGGATATAATTTATAATTAAGGGCTTGTCTCTTATTATGACAAACCCATCAGGCCTTAGAATCCGATCCATTTCAATTAATAGATCCTCCACACTGCACCCATGCTCCTGAATCTCAGAAAATACCCCCCAGGCATGAAGAAGATCGTATGTACGTGGGTATGTAGAAAATGCTTCACACCTATAAATTATATCATGTGGAAATCATTTAGAAACTCGAAAACAAGAGTGGCACAAATGAGAGAGCTTGGAAGAAGACGAGCACTATACAGTAGTTAAACACCATTTATTTGTTCAAGCGCACCATAGAGAAATTGATTAGCAGAAAGCAATCATGGATTAACATGGTATCTAGATAACTATATGGATAATCAATGCAAAATCCTTTTCAAATCCTAATTAAAACAGTCCTCCTACTTGAGCTACCAGGACAGCAACATACAGTGGAGAAAGTTAAGAGTGAGTCTCGGTTATGCTATGTCCCATTAGAATTCATATCATCACCCAGACAGGTGATTGGAGTTTTTGCGCAAAATCATTCCAAAAGTGAAACACAAAGTTCAAATTCTTTGCCTCTTAACAGCTTGTGCTAGAAACAAATATTTTGCTCTTCACCATAATACATGCATTACATAAATACTTTATTTTATGAGTCAATTTATTGTCAATGGATCAAGTTTCTTCAGACAAGACCAGTAATATTTTATCCACGATACATGAACAGAAAATAAGCTCTAGTTTATAGATACAGAGCAACCAGGATAGAGAACCTAGAAATCCTACATCAGTAAAAATTGTTGACACTGATACCAACGGTATATATATATATATATATATATAGGTTGGTTAAATGCATACCAATCATGAACTGTTCCAATTAAGCCACGATCGTAAATGATCTTTAATCTAGCAGACATGTTGACTGGAGCAACGTTCATCACCCAGACATCTGTATCTTTGAGAGCAGCACCAAAACCCCCAAGGTTTGAGTTCATATCCATGACATTTCTGAAGTAACTCTTCCGTACAACAGATTTCATCTGCTTCCAGTACTCATTCACTCTAAATTGCCAAATGTTCTGCACCACAGGAATATTTATTTGCTGAAAGATATCATAATAGTAAAAACAAGGGATTGTGGGGGTGGGCACTATATATCATTTTCTGCAATGCTATAAACTTGAAAAACCTACAGTGTCTTCATGGAATTGTTCAGGACTGACGCCAATGTCTTCCAACCGAGGGGGTGCTGCAGTAAGCCTCTTTGGCCAAGGAACTAGCCCGCTTCCTCTTTCCTTGTGCATCCCTGTGGATAAATGGCAAGTCTAAGAAACTGGAAAAAAGATTAACTGAAATGTTAAAAGGCTTAAAAACAGTGGCAAGTAAATTAGACTCTTAACAAGGTCATTAGAAAAAAGAAGAGCAGTAAACAGCATTTTCATAGTCATTTTTCAGGTATTAGGTGAAAACCAAAGAATCTATTCTCAAAATGCATCCACACTTCAACCCAGTCAAGGATATTGACTTTTCTTTCTTTATCTGGTTATATTACATCATATGGCCCAGTTATAGAGTATAATGTTTTAAATTATGTGTATGTTTATCTGAATGCCCAGTATCCAAACAAAGTTAGCAATTCCACCAAAGATGAGAGTATCAGCAAAAACAATTCAGTGACTTCTGCTCTGTCAATGTACACTCTATTGCTACTTACTTCCTGGGTAGGGGGCTATGCAGGCCTTCATGTGTACATTCCAAGTTGCATCTGGGTCATCACCAGTGCTGCATAGTGGGGGCTGTGTCCCAGGATCCCTCTTCAAGTAACAGCCATTACCCAATGGTTTTTGCCAAATAACAGTCTGATCTTTCTTCACAGCAACCCTCCAACACATTCTTCTTAAAAGGTCATGCATTGCATTCCAGATCCTTCGATTTTCTGGATCAAGTGCATAGGCTTCAGGAGAGGAGTAGGCAAAGTACCCTCCAGGTCTTAGTAATCTATCAAGTTCTAACAAGAGGATTCCATCTCTCTGGAGCCAATCAATACGGCATCGAGAACAATGAGCCAGTTCGAATGATCTGCTTGGATAAGGAAGTCTTTTAGTGCCTAAGACACCAAGAGTTGAAGGAATTCCTCTCTCCAGCGCAAACTGTATTTGATTCTCATGTACATCATTAGGTGCAATGGACATAGCTATTATGCTATGGGAAAGAAGATAAGCTCCAAAACTTGCAACTCCACAACCAACGTCAAGAACATTTCGGATATTCCCACCATTGTGAAGTTTATCGTTGGGAAATTTAAGCATCTGTACCAACAAAAAAATAAAACATAAGCTTGGTTAGACTCACTTTATAAACATTTAGGCGAACAAAACAGAAGATCAAGATATTGTATTACCCTAGCAAGAGAAACAATGTACTTATTTGCTCCATCATGAAAATGGGTTCCTCCACCAGGAAAATTTATCTTCTCCCCATTCACTACCATCCAATTCTGATCCGACTTCTCTTGCGCGAGATGTGTATGAGGTATATTTGCTTTCCAAACCTCATCTCTACTCTCCGGCCACCTTATAGGGATCTGGAATTCTAAAAATTGATTGATTTCGTCCAAATCAAAACTAACTGCAAAGCAAAAATTAAACAAACACATACACCAGCAAGAACACTCTCACAAACCTTGTAACCAATAGGAGGTGGTATTAGACAATTAAAACGCCGCTCCGGAGGGGGGCAATGCCTTTCATAATGCTCCATTAAAGTCAAATTTGGCTTCAATTTCAATTGGTAGATAAGGTTTCTATCCAAACATGGTATCAACTCTGAGTGCTTTATATCACAGATCTGTAATAGCCGACCAAAACACACAAAAATAAAAAATAAGTTGATCTAAAAATCATTACTTTCACAAACTTATAAAAACAAGAATGCATACTTTGACACAATTAAACGTTAACAAAATGCTCAAAAGAAAAAAAAAATACTTCGGCACAATTTAATGCTAACAAAACAATGCTTAACCACAAAATCAATCAAAACCCAGTTCATATTTGTTAGTAATTAATACGGAAAACGTACAGGAATGCTTTTGGGGACTTCTGGGTTATGTTCTTGGTCCTCGAACAAATCATCCAAATCCCGGGTATTCCCGCCGAGAACAGGATCCGTTCCGTCATGTTCGCCGTCAGATCTGGAGAGAGCAGGAACAAAAGAAGATCCATAGTACAAACAGAGCAAGCCCAGAAGAAAAATGAAGGCGATCAGAGCAGAGGTTATTTGCTTGGCAGTGTAAAGCTTTTCGTTTTTTTGCTTCATTTCTGAAGAAAATATCGGAGCCGTCGAATTCAGTTCGTCAAGGAGACGAGATATTTTTAGCAGTGGAGGAGATTTTCGCGGGGTTTGAGTAAAGCAAGAAAACCGGACATAAGACTGGACTGACTGTCTGGCTGGCTGACTGACTGGCTACTTCTAGTTCTTCAACCTTGTGTTGTGACTTGTGCAGTCTTCGAAGATTCTTGTTTGCTCCTTACTTCTTCTTTAGTATTATTTTCGGGAAACCTCAATTTATTCCCAAACCTATATATTTATTTTCGATTATATCTCAAACTTATAATATTTATCAATTTAAATCCTAAATGTTATGTATTTTATCAATTTTTTTCATAGTTTAAGCAAAGATTGTCAAAAATATATTTTTGACATAACACAAAAATTATAAAATAAATTTGAATTATAAAATGGTAAAATTATAAAGAATTTATTTATATATAGTTTAAGCATTTTAATTAAAAAAAATCATACATAGTTCAAGTATATTAAAATATATGGTTCAAATAAAATTTATACATAATCTAAGTAACTTTTTATTAACTAGTAATTAACAAATTTAAAATAAATAATCTACTGGTATGTTATGTAAACTAAAACAAGTTTCATTACTTTTATTTTTTTCATTATTCCTCAAACATTTATTAATATCATTAGCATCAAAAGAATTATTAGTGTCCCTACTATAATTCTTATCAATATCTATACCATGTTCTCATCCCACATCAAATTTATTACCAGAAAAAAAAAATTCTAGATGCCATAAGTTCAATAATTCAAGCATCAACTCAAATCACTTCTGTAATCAATCCAAACATAATATGATTCTAATTAATTTTTTGTAAACAAATTACGATAAGATATGTTAAAATCAACAATGATAACAAAACTCATTATAATATTCTTATTCAACAACTAAACAATTAAAATCCATGCATGACAGTGACACGATTAAAAGATTGATATCTTCTCATAAGTGTAGTAGTGTCGAAGTAATAAATAATCCGGCAAGACCAGGGTCGAATCATAGGGTGGTTAATTATATAAATTATAAACAATAATGATACAATAACAGAAATAATAATAATAATAATAATAATAATAATAATAATAATAATAATAATAATAAT